ATTTTTAATACCATTCTTGGGGGGGGGGGGGGGGAGGAAGTGGAATAGCTGGTGAAATGAAATTTGGACACTTTGTAAAATATAGTTCGGATCAAAAAACATTTTGACTCCTTAATTATTCAGCGCTTTAACTGTAATGTAATTGAGCTAATTACGCGATGAAAACAAAAAAAAAAGAAAAAAACCTGCATTCATGTTCTGTGTTTATCAATTAAAAAAATATTCAGTGTAGTTGCCGTTTTGTTATATATTACATATGTTGCTAAAAAATGCATTTAGGAACGCAACAACGTCACTGAATCCTCGAGTCTCCTCACCAACTGCGGATTCTTTTTGGTATTTAAAGTCCTGGGGAACCACTTTAAATTTAAGTAATTTGAAAATAAAAAATGTTTCCATGGAGCTAGAGACACATGGCTATATATATAGCAAAATGCAACTAAATTGATGGTGTGGTTCTCTTAGGGTATGCATTGAATGTTGAAAAGACGTATGATTTTTCTGCGGTTCGCCATAGGAACCAATGAGTAAAAGTTTGGTTGCATTTTGGCCAGACTTAATATAAACCCAGGACCACGAAATTTCTCGTGGAGGTTGAGGGCAGCGTATTAAAACGTGGCAATAAAGTGCAAAGCGATTGAGTGATTATTTTTCTTTGTATAAAAAAATATCACTTTGGTCCATTGAGTTACGGGTGCCGGCGCAACGGCGGCCGATAGATGGCGTAAGTAGTGGCGGCGCTCGCCTGTCCGAGAATCTTGGGGTTGGAAGTGATGCTTCACGGGCACAGAAATCGCTTTTCGATCAACTTGAATGCAGTCAAAGCCGCGACTTGCGACAACTGTTAAGTGTACGGAGCTGCGCCGTTGCGAGCTCGAAAACTTCTAGCGCTCATCGCAGCGCGCCACTTAGAGGGCAGTTTCTACAGGAACCGTAATATATTTAAACAGTAAATTAAAGGATAGCGTTTTTTTTTTTTTCGATTTTGCCTGTCTTTTTTTTTTTATGCTAAACTTCCATTATAAATATACGTACTTTCCGTCATACTTTCGTAGTGTTGTCTTTTCCCCAGAGCGCAATCGCTCTCGGGGACCGAGTCACATTGGCCACTGTACGATAGGAGCTTACCGTTCAGACCAGCGTTCCAACATGACTATCCACACGTCGATCGACTGCACCTAATCCCTCAAGTGGTTTTAAACTCTTTAATGTAAAGCGGAATGTCATCCTGCGACACCCCGGCCCCTCCGATAACGGCCCGACCAGCGGCATCAATGCCCGACAGTTTACGTCATCTCATCTTGTTGTTACAGCACTGATACGCGAACACACGGTCACATCGCCGATAATTCCAGTCTTCTGTTCACAACCCACAACACTGCCATCACAATGTCGCTGACACGAAGAAATACAGAACCACGTTGACGATGTTGCTGACACGCAGAAGAATCACGTTGAACGCCGGTTGGCACTCGGCACGGGACGACGGAACCGAACTCAGCGCGGAAGGCACCCAGGCAGCCGGCAGGAAAACCTGCCTTCCTTGGACGCAGTTCCCGCGATTTCCATAACGTCGAAAACGTCGACACAGCTCCTCGTGGTTTCGCTGCTGTAGCAGGCTGTAGTTCCGCATGTGTCCCGCAAATTGGAGACGGCCGTCTTACCCAGTGTATGTAGCGCTGCTGGCACTGCTCCGGAACTTCGCTGTTTCTAGCGGCTTCGTTAGCTCGTTTGATAAAATTAGTGGTAAAAACGTCAATGCAACCGAAATGTTCTGCACGTTTGGACTAGAAGACGGAATTACAGGCGGCCTTCGCTGCCGCTGAAGCTCAATCAACTCAACATTAATTTATTAAACAACGTGCGCGATGTGTTTGAAAAACGAAACCGAAAGAAGATGGGTCGGGAGGGCGAAAGCTTTCTCCGGTCTGCCTGGAGGAGGAAAACGCAGGGTATCGGAACAGAACGAAAACCAAAAAAGGAAAAACGAAAAAAAACGATATTTTTTGGCGGAACGGAAACGTAATCGAAACGTTATTTATTATTTTGTTCCGGAGTGAAACCGAAAAAATTTCTTATCGGTTTTCGGTTTAAGGGAAAATATCAGGTATTTCAGTAATTCGTTTCACGCAGCGAAGAGACAGCCGTTGGTTTGTACCATAATTAAAGAGAAGACAAGCAAGCCATCGCCCCCGCGTCTAAACTCCGGGCGAACAAGCATAGCAAAAACAAAGACAAAAAATACAACGAGAAACAAAAAACATGACGCAAGGCGCCATTGCATCCCACCAATGAGAGCGCGGTGGCGCGACGCCTCCACACGCTCGCAATGCTCTCCTTGGATAGGAGGTAAAAGCGCTAAAAAACGACGGACAAGTTGAAGAATGACGAACACCACAGAGCGCTAACTTGCAACTGAAGTTTATTACTGAAAACACGTACACATATATACACCGTGACATCAAAAAGACAAGTGGCAAAAATGCCGCTTCATCTATCTAAGGTTAATCTATGAATTGTTTACTCTTTCGAATGATTTCAAATATGCCACCTCAGAGCTATACAGGTTTACTGAGGGAGCGCTGACACACTTGCCCTGATCGTACTTCAAAATAAAAAACGCCTCCGATATCTCTCTCGTTTTTTTGTCTCTATTCCGAGTTAAGATAACGGTGTTGTCAAGCCGTGGGACACACCCACATCTGTTACAGTGTACAGCCAGATTGCCCGAGGGTGATGATCTAACCGACAGGGCATGTTCCCTGAGTCTGTCGTTTATGCACCGACCCGATTGCCCGATGTACACCTTTCCGCATGATAAAGGAATTTTATACACCACTTGTTCCTTACACTCTACGTATCTTGTTTTATGATTCTTATGGCATACGCCTACGCGCTCATCACCACGTGCCACCCTTCCACATAGCTTACTCAATTTTTGAGGGGCTGATAAGAGTACAGGGACCCCATGCTTTTCCCCCACTTTCTTTATTCTATGGCTCACCTTATGCACATAAGGTATCACCGCTGGTCTAGACTTTGGCTTGTCTCTCACGCCACATTCCCCTCCCCCCCGAAGTTTCTTTAGTAAGCCTTCCGCCACCCCCGCAAGGAGCGGAGGTGGAAAACCCCCCTCCTCCAGTTTCGTCACCTGAAGCATAAAGCTAACTGCTAGCTTATGTGGGCAGGACTTCTGTAAAGATGACCTTAAGCACGTCGAGGCAATGCCCCTCTTGATTACCTTTGAGTGACTTGAATCAAAGGGTAACACTCCTTTCTTTGCCCTTGGGCAATAAAACCAACAGACATGCGAAGGCTGTAGTAAAAGCTTAAGATCTAGAAACTGTAAGGTACCCGCTACGGGAATTTCACTAGTGAAAGTGAGCCCCGAAGCACTAGTTTTAAAAATATCAAACATTTTTGTAATAAAACCCGCTCTTTCTGAACTTGCCTGTGAACGAAACAACACCAGATAATCGTCCACATACCTAAAAACCCGAAGGACGCCTTCGTCTAACCTACTTTTGATATCCCTATCACACTTTGCCAAAAATAAATCGCTTAGCACAGGCGCCACGCTCGTCCCAATACACACACCGTCCTTCTGTAACAGCTTCACCCCTTCAAAAACAACATAAGTAGAGCTCAGATAGAAGCGTAACAGTTCCAAGAAACCACCTTCATCAACGCCACATTCATTCTGGAACTTCACAACTCCAAAAACATCAATAGCCTCTTTAACAGATTCAAACAGACCCCCCCGTGGGATTGAATAAAAAAGGTCTTGAATGTCGAACGACACTGCATCACATGGCCCCGGATTAGATTCTTTCAGATATTCTACCACGCATTCCGAGTTATTAACTCTAAAAGGATCATGTAAATGTAGCCGTGACAGATGTCGTTGAAGGTATGACGACATCTGTAACTGCCACGACCCCTTCTGTGTTACTATCGCTCTAAACGGCATAGCCTCCTTGTGTGTTTTCACAGAGAAAAAGATGTTTATCTTTTTCTCTGTGAAAACACACAAGGAGGCTATGCCGTTTAGAGCGATAGTAACACAGAAGGGGTCGTGGCAGTTACAGATGTCGTCATACCTTCAACGACATCTGTCACGGCTACATTTACATGATCCTTTTAGAGTTAATAACTCGGAATGCGTGGTAGAATATCTGAAAGAATCTAATCCGGGGCCATGTGATGCAGTGTCGTTCGACATTCAAGACCTTTTTTATTCAATCCCACGGGGGGGTCTGTTTGAATCTGTTAAAGAGGCTATTGATGTTTTTGGAGTTGTGAAGTTCCAGAATGAATGTGGCGTTGATGAAGGTGGTTTCTTGGAACTGTTACGCTTCTATCTGAGCTCTACTTATGTTGTTTTTGAAGGGGTGAAGCTGTTACAGAAGGACGGTGTGTGTATTGGGACGAGCGTGGCGCCTGTGCTAAGCGATTTATTTTTGGCAAAGTGTGATAGGGATATCAAAAGTAGGTTAGACGAAGGCGTCCTTCGGGTTTTTAGGTATGTGGACGATTATCTGGTGTTGTTTCGTTCACAGGCAAGTTCAGAAAGAGCGGGTTTTATTACAAAAATGTTTGATATTTTTAAAACTAGTGCTTCGGGGCTCACTTTCACTAGTGAAAATCCCGTAGCGGGTACCTTACAGTTTCTAGATCTTAAGCTTTTACTACAGCCTTCGCATGTCTGTTGGTTTTATTGCCCAAGGGCAAAGAAAGGAGTGTTACCCTTTGATTCAAGTCACTCAAAGGTAATCAAGAGGGGCATTGCCTCGACGTGCTTAAGGTCATCTTTACAGA